GCAGATAGTCTTATCTTCTTGGATTGAACTAACTACTGTAATACTGTAACTTTGGATCATAGTAAATCAAATTCAATATTTTGATAATTCAGTGAGTTTGTAGTTTAATATTCTGCAAATACTGACTTTGGATGACTTATATTTAAGAAACAAAATACTGGTATGTTATTTTCAAATCAAAAGATTTTAAGATGATGATTACATATTGCAACTAATCAAAAAGAATTTACACTAAATCAAATTGTTTGAGGATGTAAATTAATGGCAGTAAAACGATTAAGTTGTATTTATCAGGTCCATCTAACAGCTGGCTAGTCTATGTTTTTAAACAATGTCCCTAAGGTAAAAATGATCATTTTTGTTTGAAAGTCTAAGCATGAAATTGATCAATGTATTGATTCGTAATAATGTTCAATCATTATAAATTAAATACATGATGACTCATAATATTGGTGTCAAAATTATTTTCTAGACAATAAAACAAAGAATGGTACAGACTAACATAAAAAATATTTCTTTGAATCTGATAATAAATCCATCATTATTGTATAAAAAACATCAATATTTAACCATGAAAAAATGTAATAAAGTGACAACAAAACCTTTTATGTCCTTTATAGCATTCAAAAGACTAATTCAGTTTATGAAAATTTAAACGGAAGCTTAATTTGATAATCACTTTATAAATTAAAATATAATATTCTAATTACATCTGTCTTGCACCAATAAGGTGTTATGTATTCTGTGAAACAGTCTGTTCAAGACAAGTAAATGCTGCTGCACATTTTAGCAATTAATTAGAGATAAAAATACTTTAATATAAAATATAGAGTCATGTAGATCCACTTTCCAACTGAAAATGACAAAGCCAATAAAATTAAATATTAATCTAATACCCAATATTTTTGTATTACAAATTGACTTATATTAGATGTTTAATATAAAACAGACATACAGTTAGCTTGCATTGTCTTGATTTTGTTTTGCTAAATTTATTTTCACAATAGACTGCAGTTTTTATGTTTCCTTAATTCATTTTCCCTATTTTTTCTTTTAAAATATGTTTGGTCATGGTATGATTGGTCTCCAGGAAATTTATGAAAAGGAGTCAGTTTTTAAGTCTAAGCACCGTTTTAAGATTATGTGTTCGTCTGGGTTATATTTCAGATTCTAGGACCAAAATGACTTTTATTTTTTTAAATTTCTTGATGGTACAGACTACTTTACATTCTCAAGATTCTTCACATTTTGAAACCCTTATTCTGAATAAAAACTTTCAAAACTTACCATAGGTTTCAGCGACAACTGTCATTTGAGTTGATCCTGCTGTAGCTTTTACCACACACATAAATCTATCACCACTCATTATATAGTCAGCTACAAAATGATTTATTCTGGTATACAAGTACTTCTCAAGAATCCTGGAACCTAGCAGAGTTATCTTTCTTCCCATTGGACCAACCAATTTTATCTCATTTTCATAAGGTGTGGGAAATGCAGCTACTGTACAATTGAACTCTGAACTTTGACCTGGATTTACCTTGGTGTTTTTGAAAGAAACGATCCTGGGTTCTGTTACTGTAAAAAAAAAAAAGCCATATCAAGGTTTCTAAAAATATTCTTCTCAGACTCTAGTAAAACACATTTAGCTCATTTCTTAAAATATGATTTGTATTTGTGCAAGCATTCAAACTTCAAAGCAGACCAAATTTAAAAATCACTTAGTGCTACTATTTCACAATATCTCTGTAATATGGGTTCCGGTTTTCTGTTAATGGCTTTGTGCCAAACTTCTCTATGTGATTCGAAAGAGACAAATGAAAAGGGTACCTGGTTCACAATAAGGAGGTTTGAAATATCCTTTACGACATGCACAGTTTCTAGTTGGACCAGTAAATCTATCACAGTCTCCAGGGTCTTGACAATGACATCTTTGTGAGCAATCCCATCCATAACGATTATCAGCACACGAAATAGCTAGTTTATAAAATATCATCACACATTTTATACATGCTAGGATGGTTCTTTCATAACAGAGGTATACAGAGTTTTCTAAATTACATCTATTCCAGATGCATAAGTCTATTTGATTTATTCCAGGTGCATGAGCCTATTTGATTTATTGCAGGTACACAAGCCTATTTGATTTATTCCAGGTGCATGAGCCTATTTCATTTATTCCAGGTGCATGAGCCTATTTCATCTATACCAGGTGCATGAGCCTATTTTATTCATTCCAGGTGCATGAGCCTATTTGATTTATTTCAAGTGCACGAGCCTATTTCATTTATACCAGGTACATGAGCCTATTTCATCTATACCAGGTACACAAGCCTATTTTATTCATTCCATGTGCATGAGCCTATTTGATTTATTTCAAGTGCATGAGTCTATTTGATTTATACCAGGTGCATGAGCATATTTGATTTATACCAGGGGCATGAGCCTATTTGGTTTATTTCAAGTGCACAAGCCTATTTGATTTATACCACGTACACAAGCCTATTTGATTTATACCAGGGGCATGAGCCTATTTGGTTTATTTTCTAGTGCATGAGCCTATTTGATTTATACCACGTACATGAGCCTATTTGATTTATACCAGGTGCATGAGCCTATTTGATTTATTCCAGGTGCATGAGCCTATTTGATTTATTTCAGGTGCATGAGCCTATTTTGATCTATACCCGGTGCATGAGCCTATTTCATTTATTTCAGGTGCATGAGCCTATTTCATTTATTCCAGGGGAATGAGCCTATTTCATTTATAGAGGGTACACAAGCCTCTTTGATTTATACAGGGTACACGAGCATATTTGAGTTATTCCAGGTGCATGAGCCTATTTGATTTATATCAGGTACATGAGCCTATTTGATTTATTCCAGGTGCATGAGCCTATTTGATTTATTCCAGGTGCAAGAGTCTATTTCATCTATACCAGGTACACAAGCCTATTTGATTTATTCCAGGGACATGAGCCTATTTGAGTTTATTCCAGGTGCTTGAGCATATTTGGTTTATTCTAGGTACATGAGCATATTTGATTTATACAGGTGCATGAGCCTATTTCATTTATTTCAGGTGCATGAGCCTATTTCATTTATTCCAGGTGCATGAGCCTATTTGATTTATTTCAAGTGCATGAGTCTATTTGATTTATACCAGGTGCATGGGCATATTTGATTTATACCACGTACACGGGCCTATTTGATTTATACCAGGTGCACGAGCCTATTTGATTTATACCACGTACACGGGCCTATTTGATTTATACCAGATGCATGAGCCTATTTGATTTATTCCAGGTACATGAGCCTATTTGCTTTATTCCAGGTGAATGAGCGTATTTGATTTATACAGGGTACACAAGCCTCTTTTATTTATACAGGGTACACGAGCATATTTCATTTATACCAGGTGCATGAGCCTATTTGATTTATACCAGGTGCATGAGCATATTTGATTTATACCAGGTACACGAGCCTACTCCTAGATAACTTAAACCACCCTCCCATTCTTTTCTGTAATCTTAGAATTTATCCAACTAACTGTTGGCCATTTAACTTATGGAGTAATCAATTGGAGACTTCATTGAATCAAACTTATCTGAACACATTCAATATTAGAGAAACTCTGTATCAAGATGGACTGTGCACCACTAATAAACCTAGAGATTCCTGGTAAAAAAATGATAATAAGTTGTTCTGCTACTGATTCCGACTGTAGTTGTACCAATATTGGATCATTTATGCAATGCGGAATGGATTAAATGATACATTTTTTTTTTGTAAATGCATTTAACATTTTATAAAGTTACAAACTCTGTGATACCTTTGTCATAAAACTCAAAATCAAACTTAATGAGGCAATTTGTATTCTAATACATTCAAAAGTTTTGTGAACTCTCAAAAAGTAATGTCAAGCTAATGAAAAATGATAACATGTAATATTTCATAAAATTCATAAATTCCTTATCATTTATCATAAAAGTTGCAGTGGTTCAATAAAAATAATAACAGAATGACTATCTTTTTTTTTCAATACATAGTCTTCAAAGGATGTGCACTGATACATCCGACATTATGATATTATGACCCTAGGGTAAAAGAAACAGTATGAACTGTGAGTCAGACCACTATGTTTTTTAAGTGTCACTTGAAGTGCCAAGGTTTGATAGGTATTGCATGAGAAGTGCCATATAAGAGATCATTACAGCTATGAGATGGAATTTTTAATTGCTGATTATTCTTCCTGTCACAGGAAGTTTTCAAAGATCAATCCCAGAAGGCATGTTCCACTAGCGGCCATATTGTAGCGTAACATGAGTCAAATGACCACTGTGTAAAATGAGATGAGATGGCATGATTCAAATTGTACACACTCATTTGAACTGATAGGCAAATAAAATCTACTCAAAATTGTGCAAATTCTCCCTTGTTAAAGGAGATGCTTCTCTCTTTTTCTGAATTGAAAAAAAAGTAATATATTTGGTTTAAAGTAAATGTCTTTTGCTACAAACCAAGTATTTTTTGTCCTTTTATTTAGTAGAAACATCTCCTTTATGTCCTTTATCTATCAAATTTCACTTTCAGTTCAACAGAATCAAAACAGGTTGTGATGCTATATAAATGGAAGACTTACCAGTTTGACAATCATAATCTTCCCAACCTGCAGCACATCCCGACTGACATACACCCATGATACTATCACAATTCTCTGTGATATCACGACAGTGACATTCCTTGGCACAGTTATTACCAAACCTTCCTGGGGGGCACACTAAAAACATATAACATTATTGAAAATAACCTTTCTCAAATATCTGATTTCTGTTATGTGCCACCATTAAAGAATAATTTGAACAATGGACAGTCTTTTATGATTTTAAACAGATTGTCTGGTCAATTTATATCTGTGTATTATGTTATGATCTGCTTAATGTAAAGATTCTGAATGTGCATTACAAATGTAATAGTTGTGTAATTATTTTCTTTTCCAGCTAAAAGAAAATTGTTTCAAATCCTTGACACCTAGGAATAGAAATAGACTTACCACAATTATTGATGTTACAATGTTCCCAACGAACTTTTCTATCATTGGTATAACACCAGGGTTCATTGGAATCTGGGGTAGTTCGGCAGAAATTCAAGGTGTATCGTCTCTCAGGGAAATCATTAGGTTTATAAGAATGTTGATGGGGATATTGTGAATCCCATCTCTGACAGGTATATAATGATTTTGTCTGACTTTTACTTCCCATGTAATTTCTCTTCTGGCCATTATAATAACAATTGTTGGCTGAAATGGATGGATTTTTCCATAAATGACAAAACAAATCTTTTGAAACAATTGTAATGTGGTATACCTAATCTCCTTCTCTCCTTTCCCACTTCAAAATTTATTACCAGGCAATTAATGGCATAAAATGACATTTGGGTTTAGATAATTCAAAACGATAACCATTATGACCTTCAAAGATGAATTCGTGGTCAAACTATGAACAACCATTCATAAAAAAAATTAACGAACAACATCTATCCAACATAATTTTGTCCTTTGAGTAGTATTATGTCTTAAACTCCAGATTTTGGAATACGAGCCCAATTTCCAGTTGTTATCTTTTCCGTTTTGCGGCACATATCGGAAGCATAAGATGAGCCTTTGTCAAAAAAGAAATTTAATGAACTCCAAGTTTTAAGTTCATTTTCCTCAATGTGATTTCTGAAGATCATTTCAGAGATAAATTACAATAAAATACAATAAGAGATAGGAAAGTTGTAAGAGTACAATACAAGAATATTATCTTCTAAGTAGCAGCTTTTTGTTCAAAGAAGTCATGTTTCAAAGGAAGCCAAATGATATTTTAAGATTACAAATCAGAAAAATTACAAAGAAATCTTACAGATCTCATATATTATTTTTTCAGTCATTTTTATCTACAATAGTTATGAAAGCCATGCATCTCTCATTTGGAGTAATCCTCGTGTTTTTAAGACAAATTATAAATTGAGATGGGTTAGGGGCCAAATCAAATCCATTATTAGGGTTATTTCATGTAAAAAGCCACTTATACTAGAGGTAAGGGCCGATAACTTGCTCAGATATGCAGCGAAAAAATAAATATATACTTACATAGTTGGCAACCTGGTCCCCAATAGCCATCAGCACAACCAGATGGACACGATCCTGTGTCTTTATGGCAATTCTCTGAACCACGACACCGACATTTAAATCTACATTTGTACCCAAAATAACCGTCGGGACAACGTCTCTGTAGGTCTCTTATTCCACCTGAAATTATTTAAGAGGTGGGTATTAAGATTTCAGAAAAAAAATATGCTTGTACTCATGCAGTTTGTCTACATATTTAAAAACGACATCAGCATCATTGTTGGTGAACAGAACATATACTCTTACTTCTGGATGATTTGACGGTGTACCTTGGATTTGCAATGTAGCAGGATCTCTATTTTACAAAATTTTATACAGTTCCTATACGAGTTTTTAAAATAAAGTGTTGTGTAATCGATTTTTACTTGTTATATTTTTCGAAAAGATACAAGCAAAAACAATTTGACACGTTTGCCATAAAAAAAAACTTTTAGCGATTTGAACCGTGATTAATGTTTGATTTATAAGCTGAATGAATTGTGTTTCATTTTGTCACTTAAAAATACCATTGGTGAATGGAGCATATAGCATAATGACCATCGATCAAATTGAGGACTGCCAAGTGAGATCGTTTTCATCTTAGATCTCGACCAAAACCGGTAATTAGTCTATAAAGCTTAAAACGGATTTTGTCCTGAACATGCCGTATTGATTTTGGCTCTGATTTACCACGACCACTCACCGGTGACCAATGGACAATACTCAATCTTTGTCCATTAATTTGTTAAAAGAACTCACTGTTTCTTGATTGATTTGATTAACAATGTGAGAGAATACAGATTGATAAATTTGTCTCAACAAATGGTGTGCTTTTGTACGACTTCAGTTCATCATATGAGTAAGCCATTGATTTGCGTTTCGGAAATAAAAGCTATCTCCAGGAGAGATTGTTTGTTGTTCGTTAGAGTGTCAGCACCACCCATATGCACACACATTCTCCCTATATACGCTTACTACATGCCTAAGCCGCTCCACTTATTGCGTCGTCTAATCAACCAGAAGGAAAAAATAGGTTGCAGTAGAAAGTTGCATTGTCATTTTGCTACTTTCGGAAACCGAGCAGCTGATATTTTTCAATAGTCCCTCGGTTTTTTCTTGTCAACAAGAAGAAATAACTGATATGCTGTAGATCTCTGGTCAACAAAGATGAAAAAAATAATGTTTGCAGCAATCATGAAAATCTGATAATCGATAGGTTTCTTCTATCAACGACCATTCTTTGACACTGAGGCAATGTCATTATGTTTAAATAACATAAGTCTCAGGCCCGGAGCTAACTAGATCTATATATAGTCCTAGATGACCAGTTTGAACGCACCTATAACCTAGAGGTTCATTCCATGCTTCATGTTTCCTGATTATTCTTGGTAATTATCATGTGAGAAACCTTCAAGAAGCTATCATTTTGTTTGTTGCGTCCTTGAAGATGGCTTTCCACTTCCTTTTTCATTGAAAGTTGGGCGTTCCTATTTTCTTTGATGCAATGGATGATGTGAAATAAGCGTCTCGTCAACACACCAAGTCCCCGTGTGCACATTAAAAAACGTCAATCGACGGCTAATGAAGTTATCTTTGCAAAAGGCCTCATTGTACATTGTAAGTAAAGCAAAATACAAAAATATTACATAACATCACATCACAGTTTCATTCGAACAATATGTAAAAAAGGTATTGTTTCTGTTTGTGAAAGTCAAGTCAAGAAAACTACACACTGACTGTTTGACCCTGTAACTATTAACCTGGTTCTACATTTCGCCTGACGTCTAAGGACCATTATCTTACACATGGCAAGGCTGTGGCTAGAAATACAATTTAAACCTCACTTATCATTGCAAGTGTTTCCTGTAATTTACCGCTTGCAGAAGATGAAAGCAAGAATGTTTCTACAAAAAGATCTTTCGGTATCGATCACTTTATCTATTTGTTCTAAGGAGAAGGGTTATTGGAGGTTATATGTAAACGAAATTGGACATGAATTGCCTCGCATTGTTTTATGTTTTGAATTATTTTAAACCAAACCTGTGCCGTTCTGACAATTAACTGTTTTAAACTTATCTGTAAGATCTATGAGAATGGCTAATGCAAGAGATTCTTTTTACGGTTGTCGTTAGTTTCAACCTAAGTTGGTGAAAGGCCATAATTACCAAAGGTAAGACCCAAGAGCAACTACAAGAAATAATGTTCTTTATGAATCATACTTTATTGTACATTGTATATTATAGTATGTTTGAATTTCTTATCACGTTATAATTCAGAAGATACTTCAACACCATCTTGAATTCTCGCAATACTTTTCATTCCATTTCGTACAAGGATTGGAAGAAGAAGAATAAAAGCTAAGCTACAGTTATTGACTGATTAAGACATGACATAAATCTGTTCAATATAGACTCAATACACAGGACATGGTCTGAATATCGACTGTAGAGCTTCAACAACAAATTCAATAGTACTGATCGTAACCTTACACATTCACTTCCACTTAAATTGTACATCGGTCAGGAACGAAAGCAAATACAGAATTGAAAATGCTAGGATGATTTCTTTCCAACAGATCAACAAGGACAAAATGAGGTCACGCAATTGACTTTTTAATTGTCAGACCTTTTTCAAATATTTTCATGTTATGTATATTCTCTACGTTAGAGGTAATTCTAACATTTCTGACCTCTGTTGATATGTAATTATTCCCTTCATAACCTTTTAATTTTAATATCCAAAGATTTAGCCGACATTAATTTTTATTTTGAATTTTTACTTTTGTTCCCCCCTGAAAATTCAGATTTTATTTATTTCATTTTAAACGCCTTTTTAAGCCATAGTTTCTGACAAAATTACAGAAGAGATTATTTCGTGAATGATAGTGAGTTTCAGAGCTTCCTTTTAAATGTTATGAAACCCTAAATTACGAAAACATCAAAAAACAATGAGCACATAATCTTGGAGGTTTATTCGATTTGTTTTCTTTTTACCAGAATTCAATTACTTTCAACAAGTCAAAGAAAAAAACTCTACATGAGAGGATTAAATTGATCAAAATTGTTACAAATCTGTAGCATTCTCTTAAAGACAAGCGACCTGAAAACAGGAATTTTCATCAGCTATTGCAACAACATCGATCATTAGGTTGAATTGTTTTTGTTTTATGTGCACCAGGGTCAAAGGACAAAAAATGTGTTGATCATGTGAAAGGTGTTATATCAATAGATTCTTTAGTATTACACGATAGTCCCTTTTCATGCTTTGGCAAAACTATTTTGAAAGAAGTAAGCTTATTGGCACCTGAACTCTCAACTTTAATCCATGTTCGGGGACCTACGTGTAAGTTATGCTCTTTGTGTCTTTTTTTTCATTTCTTTTGGGAATTTATCCTCATATATGCGATTCCCCCATGCATTTAATGTCACGTACACAGTTTGTATACCTGATATCGACTGAATCAAACTTTCTGTTTCTTAAAAAGAGACACTGTGTTGAATGGGAGATTCAAACGAACTTTGTGTAAGATATAGGTTTATCTGCATTGACAAGAAACGATACTATAACTGTCAAAATCAACCAGTAGGTCTTTCCTATATTACATTGTCTGATATTGGCGTCGGGATTTCACAGTGGTCAAGATTTATCAAGCTGTTTATTGATGGGTCAATAAAGAATCCAAATCAATTTCTTTTTATCTGAGATCATTAGTCATCGAGTGGTCAACCTGATTGAATTGACCATGTAGTAAATTTATTCAAATCATGCAGCCTTGTAGAATAGTAGAGGTAATAAAGGTTAAATTCGTGATTTCAACCGAGTTAAATCTATGAAGTGGCCAATTAATGGTATTAAAATCTATTCCAATGAAATTTACGAGGAAAGTATCAATGGAATATAACGAAGGCTTTGTGACTTTGTACTTATTTAAAAACAGAGTGACTTTCTAATGTTACAATAACACGGAGATTCTCTGAATGCTACATGGTTCTTCTAATTATATGTGTATTTCAGAATTGAATTAAAAGATATCTTGACGGGCAAGGTAATATACGCCCTCTGGCAGCTTTCATTTTGAATAAAAGTATTTAGCAGTACAGTAACAATCGCCAATATGAAATATAGTGTTTCAGA